ACACAAATCACTAACAGTCAATGTTTGTTGTTAATAGTAGTTTTCCTTACATTTTAATTTGTTTGTTTGTTTGTTCGTTTGTTTTTTAATGCAAACATAAGTATGAAATCTCTGAATTATGCCATATTGGTCAAACAGTTAGAAAGTAATATTCTGTGCAGTTATATTTTACATAACTGGGCTGATACAGTAAGGAAAATAAGTAGAGGTATGTGTTAGGGGGAAAAAGGAATATATGCAATATTTTATGCCCTTCTCATATTCATTTAACTTCAAAACCCAATTCTACTCTTTGTGTACATCTGTGCCAGGTGCGTCAAAACAAGGTGCAAGAACGTACCTGTAACTTTTATGCTGTCTCTTGCCATAGTTTCCAATAGTTACGTATTGGCCTAAATCACTGTACATGGCACTTAATTGATAAGAACTCAGTAATCTTGGTGTCGTTATAAATATCATGTCCCTCCTTGTAAGTTTTGTCGCTGGATTTAGTTATTTCTGGTAATACTGAGTTTCACAGTTCAGTTACTATGGAGAGGTATTTTTGTGTTGGTTTTGATTTTCGTCCCTTTACATCTTCATGTTCCAGGGCTGTGAGGTACCAAGACAGAGGCTGCTGGGGTCTCTTAATCCTTCTGCAGCGTGCTCCAGGACACTGGGTGGCAAGTGCTGCACAGGCTGTCTGCTGTGGGCTGTGTTGTCACTTTGTACAAAGGCATTACAGCTTTGTACACCTTTGTACTGTTTTATTCATCACTACGTTCCTCATGCATCCTACCATCTTGGTAATGCTTTTTTCTCAGTTGCATATTTTTCAGATACTTCAGTGAAGTTTATGGTGAGGTATCAGTGAAGTGCGGCAAAGGGTGAGCTGATTAAAAAGTGATTTAATTTATTAAATATATTCAAGATAAAAGAGATTTAACCTTTTTTGCTCCCAAAGTGCGTATAAGATCACACAGGAGAAATGTACAGTTGTTTTTTTTTCTTGTTCCTTTGTTTTCCTTCTGTGTAAAATAAATCACCCATGCTGAAAATGAACAGTGACAGTGAAAATACTAGAAAATCTTAACCGTATAAGAGGCAGTGGGAATAGAGACCTGTCTGGAGGCAGATGATACCCTCAGCACTTACTACATACATGTATGCCTTGATTATTTTGTTTTCAGAAACTGCTTGAGTGTCATTTTTGGTTATGTGATGTAACTGTCACGCTTGATTTGTATACATATTCTTGTGTTAGCAACTATACAAAATTATAGAGAGATGAAAAAGATTCCTGGCACTTCCTCATAACTATAGGACAGGTTTGTTATATATCATTTATATCACCGTGACTTCGAAACTACTGGAAAGATGCTCATGAGACAAATACCAGATCTGGGCATGGTGTATCTCCTCTTCATAATGCTGGTTGCTCGCTGTGACTGCCCACTTCAGGTCTAAAGCAAAGGTTTGGCAAATGCAGGAGCAAAGAGATTCCAGCTGCAGAGTGAGAGCAGCATCTGAACACAGCAAAACTCCAGGTAGTGAGGAAGGACTTGGCGTTATTATGTGCAATGTCCAAGGGAATGAGTTGTAATAGGTGAAAGTTACCAAATATTTATATCCACTGCATATGGAAAACATATTCTAATATTGTTGCATATATTTCATCTAAACAAGTGTTTGCTGTTTGTTTTTTTTTTTTCCAGAAAGTATAGGAATTTAAGTTGGGAGTGGTGATGGCTTTCAAAGGAGTCATTAGTTCATAGTATAAGAAGTATTTGAACAAGCTGACCTATCCAGTTGAAATACTGAGAAATTGGTAGGCAGGTAAGAGATGTAGAGACATCCAGAAATCTTTCCTTTTCCTACATTACTAAAAGGTGGCAAGGCTTTTGCTTATTTAGGTCCAGCAGGGTCAAAATGCAGTTTTACATATTTGAAAGATTCCATTATGCTTTCCTACAGCAAGACCTCATCATTCCACAAGAGCAGGCTCTTTCTGCCAGCTCAGAAAGACATTTTACCTACTGCAAACATGAAAACCATTCACAATAAACAGAACTACAAATGAGTTCTGCAGACTTTGGATTAGGTACAAAATGCTGGAGTTTGCAATGGTTATCCATACACTTAAACACAGACGGCAAAAGTTCTCTTCAGCTTCACTGAGAAACTCTTATCTATAAAAAGCTCAAAAAATCTCCATTATTGCTCAGAAAGTGTCAGTATGGACTAGTAAAACAAGTGTGGTGTGGGTTTTTTTTTGCATACCTTGGCTGGAATCACCATAGTGACTCTCAGTATGCAAACCTATTTTCCCCTTGGAGTTTGGAGAGTAAGAGTTAAGAGAGCTCAAATCCTGTATTATTTTGGGCAGCTGTAAAGGAAAGTATTTTGCATTTGGTCAAGTGAAATTATTTGAGCATGTATTTGAAACTGAAAGAGTTCAGGAAAACAAAGTGATCTACCTTGAAACTATCATAGTTGTTCACAAGCTTTAATATTTCCCTTAATTTGATCAAGGGGGGAGGGAAATTATTATTAAACAAATGTATTAAAAATTTAGTTGACTGTAGTTCCAGGGGTTTTTAGGAAATTGATTATTGTACATTTTCAATGAACCTGAAACAATTTACTTCTAGAGAGTAAATCAAAGACTTGTTTAATTCATGTAGTGATTTGAATATAAGGGGCACAGGATTTTCTATCAAATTTCAGTGGAACAGCTATTGAGTTTATGCAAACTGTCAAGGGTTATTAGGCTTTCTTGTTTTCCTGGTATTGGATGCTGAGCTGTTGAAGCCTAAAGCTAAAGGGAACTTTTGCACATGGTCAAAAATAATGCAAAAGGAGAGTAAATGAAAGAGATTACATAATATCCAGAATGTCATAAATTACAATATTTGAGAGGAGATGAGGTGAGTTAAATGATGTATTGCTTTGATTTCTACGTGTAAATTGAAGCATGTATCTACATACTGCTTTTACTGAGACTTAAACATGTGGGCATCTTCAGTAGAGTTAGAGGCCAAGAATTTTGTCTAGAGCCACAGTATGAGTGTGCTGCCTTCAATACAACAAAACATAATGCTTTTGCTTCCAGCACAGAGTGATCCTGGAGATTTACTTGTTCCAATTTTACCACAGCTGAAGTTTTCTTTTGATTCTTGTAATAAGAAACACGGGAATGGTGTTTATCTTCTGAATAAGACACAGCAAATGGTAAGAAAGAACATCCATTCTGTCGGGTGGTGGCTATGGAAATGCTATCCTACCTGAAATACCACTAATCTATGTTTTATGACTCAGTGTTCAATTTATCCTTGTCTCAGGCAGAGAGTCAGTTTCATTCTTTCTACCAGAGGCTGACAAGATGATTCGCATTTCTTATGCTTTTACTTTATCACTTCTACAAACAGGCAGCAAATTTCAGCAGCTGGCATGGCTGTTACAGTCTTTCCATTATTCACATTAAAAAGAATGGAGAGAAGGGAGGAGGGAATGTCTGAGGAAAAAAAAGAGGAAGAAAAAGAAGAAGAAAAAGAAGAAGAAAAGGAAGAAGAAATAGAAAAAGAAAAAGAAGAAGAAATAGAAAAAGAAAAAGAAGAAATAGAAAAAGAAAAAGAAAAAGAAGAAGAAATAGAAAAAGAAATAGAAAAAGAAATAGAAAAAGAAATAGAAAAAGAACTTTGAAGCCATAGAGGAAATAATTATACCTTTCTGAATACAGCAATTTAAATGTATAATAAACTGGGTCAAATAATGCTATATGTAAAAAAAATAAACCCAAATAAGATGTGCACTTCTTGTTCTGTAATTTTATGGTTTAATCCATCTGGCTTTTTCTGGGAAGTACCCCATAAGCGATGGTTATTAGTAGTGACAGCTGTCATTTTGTTGGTAGTTCTTCCCAAATTGCTCAAGGCAATCAGATAAACAAGCTTGTTTGCCTACTCTTACCAGTTATTACTTGTTCTGTTCTGTGTTTTTCTTTTTGTCAGAACTCCCATCTCTGACCAACACACTCAAGTATTAAATTAGGAAATTCAGACACAGTTTGTGAAATCTTTAGAGACAATGGAGTATTGACTCATTCATGTTTTCTACTTTCAAATATATGCATTAATGAGATGTAAATTCTCTTAAATATCATCATTATTTTTATCCAGAAGCCTATGTAACAATTCTGTAGAAAGATCCCCCTGTCAAATAGGGAATGGCTACAGACCTTTTATCTACCTTTTTATCTACCTTTTATCTGCTTTATCTACCTAGTCTGCCTACAGCAGAGGGAAAGTGGTGATACTTAACATTTCTTTCATCTGTTACTTTGAAAAATAAGAAGTAGTAGTTAATTATTTTAATAGCAATTCCCCTTTGCCAGGTTCATTAGATTATGCTATCCGTCCATATGGGAAAAAAAAAAAAAAAGTATCAGTCTGGTAGAAAAATGCATTGCCTTTACCAAATGACTCATTTATATTTCATTGTTTTAAGAGGTTTCCTCTGTATCTATTTAATATATAATGTATATATCTAGAGCATTATTGAAATAGAAAACTTGAAAAATGTTGACTGCAAACTTTTAGCTTCAGATAAGATAAACTGCTTTAATCAGAAAGGAATTAACAGCTCACTCTTAGCACAAGCTGATCAGATTTTTACAAATCATGAGTAATTGCATAAATACTAACATCTGTTAACAAAAAGCAAGTATTTGGAAATGCTTGCAAACAAGATTGTAGCAGTGGATTCACTTGTGTTCTTGCAAGTGAGTCTTACTATTCAAACCAACAGTATTATGCACAAGTTCTCTGAAATAGAACTTGCATTGTGTTATATAGAACAGGGGACATGCCTGTGTATTTCTTCCATGCTTCTACTGCTTGACAGCAAAAAACTTAACTGACTACATCTTGGTTGTTTCTTTACACTTTAACTTGTGCAGAGACCAGCCTGCTTCAAGCTTGCTGTTAGCACAGAGGATGGATCCATCTAACAAAGTAAGTGTAGATATAGCAGCTCACAAGGTACTGACTCAGAATAGAGTCTCATATGGTAATTGATATGAAAACTAAACATTAGACTTGTAAGCATCAGTGAAGTATGCAGAAGCCATCAAAATTAACTGTTCTTGAGTGTAAACTGTTGAAAAGCTAAATCTCTTCAGGGAAGGATTTGTGCAAGTGCAGTATTCTTCAGGGAACCATACAAATCTGCATTGCAATAGCCTGTTTCCTGAGGTTTCCTTAGGGATCAGAGAGAGTTTATAGAAAAGTTGTGTTTCTTGTAGCTGTACTGCCTGTACCAGCTGCACAAAATTCCTTCTTGAATGACTACATTCCAAAGAAGTAATTGCAGAAAATTCTCAGATTCTTATTTTCATTTCCTTTAGTAGTTCTGTAGAGACGACTTTTCTTTAATAAATACCCAACCACTGCACATGTAACGACAGAAAATGATGTGAATGTATCTGCATATTTATTCTTTACACTGAGGATGCATGCTGTATGCTACTTAATTGCAAGAACGTATGTGATTTTTATGAGAAGTGCTAAGAAGAGCATCGTAAGATTGATTTAATTTGTGCATGTGTTTGGTGAAATGCACAAAGGGAAACACTGGAAGCCTTTAGTACAAGCAAGAGCTTGCTCTGTGAGGAGGGACTGGATACCTAAGACTAGAGAGACCAGGGATTTCGTTTCTCCTATTATCTTTTCTAGGGTTGCTGCTTGGGAGTGCTTACCAACATAGAAAAAAGGTCTTTTCTTTCAAAGCAATAGCACAATAAAAGAAAGCAAAACCTGACCTCATTTGTTGGCAGCACTGTCGAGATGAACTGCAGCTCTGACCTATTTCTCCAGCGGTACAATTATCTGCTGTAATGGTACCACTTTACTTCTCAAATCCGGGATTACAGTACTGTGAGATTTAGAGAAGTTACTCTTTCTCTAGTTGCAGGCCTTGTTACTTTGGGGACAAGCTAGTGTGAAGGGTGAATGGATGGAAGGAGTAAAGACAAAGCATGTGATCAGGTCATTGTAATGTCTTTATAATTTTCACGTGAATGCATTTTTTTAATTTATTTGTATGTGTACACTCATAGCATTTTGTTTATATACACATTATCTCTATATACAAATGTGCATGTATATATAGAGAGAGACAATATCCTTGTATATACGTGTGTAGCAACACAAAATGTACTAAACTGAGTTCATGTGGTGAGGGATTTGGGTTTTGTTCATTTGTTTGGCGGATATGAGATGTGATCAGCCTCTACACAACATGGGAGCTGTAAGAAATCAAGTTCTTATATACTCAGGACTCAACCCCTCTGTGACAGGAGTTGACACAGCTGCCTTAAAGTCAATTTAATACCTGTTTAAACCAATGGAAGGAAATCGAGTTACATTAGGAACTGGTGTTTATAATCTGATATTTATCTCTTTGTTTTAATAGCAGTGTATCCAATCTTACAAAACAAACTTCTTTTCTCTGAGCTTCCTTTCTTTCTTTCTGTGTCACCAAACTGAATAGAAAATGTTCTTATGAAGTCAATTTTTCTTAGTAAGGTTTCAGTCTTCAGGAACATATTCATATTCTTTGTTTTTTCACTTGGGATACTGTTCACAGTGTTCACAGCAACACTGAGCTGGTAACAAACATTGAGTACTGCCAAGCCCAGTCATGCAGAAATCGTGAATTAGGATCTCAAAAGCATATGATTAGCTTGAAAACCATGTTTTCAGGAAAAAAAAATATAAAAAAAAAAAAAACTTTTCATTTAGCCTCTGCTTTTTGGTACATTTTAAGCTTTGTCCCAACTCAGAAATGCTGATAGAATACTTAACACAATCATACACAAACTGTTATGAACTTAACTGTCCAGTCTCACCAGTATAACGCATAGTTGAGTCAGGCAATTAATTTTGCAAAGGTTGGACTTATTTCATGTGATCATCTTATTTTTGTCTGCTTTCAGTTTAATGGAAAAGTGTTGCTTTTTTTAGACACAGATCTACTCCATGCAGGGTGATCAAATAAAATGGTTGTTCAGTACTTGTTTTTGCCCCGTTGCCTTTCATCCCTGTCAGGATGATGCTAGGAGCACCGTCCACAGAATACATGAATTTTAAAGAGAGAAAGCCTTTCAAGGGTTGCAGAAGGCTGAGTTCAAGCAAGGATAAGAAAGCAAACTATAACTTGAGCTCCTCTTAGAGAGGGGCCTCATTTGTTTTTTGATTCCAATCTGAAGTCATTAAGTTTTGCTGCAAGGGGAATGGTACTCAATGCAGTTTTGAGGAAGACATTTATGGTTCCATCCCTGGAGGGCTGACACGCAGGCTAAGCATCTGCTGGCATCAGCTAAATATGCAGGGGAGAATAAAAGTATTTGGAGGAGCATTAGGATGAGTTTTGGCCGAGGCAGCTAAGAAAGATGAAATATTGCTGTTATTTAAATTACTCAAAGAAATCATCTCCTCTCCTTTTCCATCAAGGTGGCGAAGAAGAGATTCATATTCTGCTAATGGAAAGTTTTGGAACAGAAGTGAATGGGAAATATTGCCATAGTTTGCTCAAAAATGAGACAAAACATTTTCATTATTCCTCAGGGACTTTTATTCAGAACATGTAAGAGGTGGGTGTATTTAAAGAGACAATATAATTTTCTTATAAAAGTAAGAAAGTACACTAAAATCTCCAACAGGAAGTTTAATAATAAAACAAACATTTTCCTTGTTCTCTGAACAAAACAACTGAGAAAATACATCAGAAGAGGTAAATAAAGAAAAATACATTCAGTCCTTGGCTCTCACCTCTCCAGGGAATTTCAATTACTCTTTGAATCTTGTGGATCTTAGCATATAATACTGTGCATTTATTAGATAGGAGTTTTCTATCATTTTCTTCTTCTTTTGTGTGCACACAGCCTTTTTGTGGGAGCAAGTAATATACATTATGATAACAAACAGTAATAAATACGTAAATGATTATATACAATGGAAGACATTGTAATCAACTACTTTTTTCCCCAATAAAATAGTTACTTTCAAAGTCAAGACTACTTTTAAATGTCCAATATTTAGTAAATATTTATTCAAGTAATTATGTATTCAAGGAAAAGTCCTAATAATGTCATTAGAGATCTTGATAGAGACAAGATTGCAAAGTTTATCCTAAAGATTTTTATGATGATAACAGTTTCAATGAGAAAAAATACACATTTAACCCCATCATCCAGTGGGGCCAAGTTGGAGGCCTCATCAGACACTCAGAATAAAACAGAGCATTGTGTCAGCCACCCTATGGAGTCTGAGTCCAGTATTTCACACAGTGTACTCCTTGCATGAATTCACAGAGGAAGACACAAATACCAAATCAGAGGTTGAAGTGAAGGTTATTGTAACATCTTTCCAAGTTCCAGTCCCTCAGAATTGTCACCCATTTCCAAATCATACAGGGCTTCTTCTGAGCTAAATTGCATCCTCCAATCTATCATTTCATGTCTGCAGTAGACTGTATTTTTTGATTGTGTTTTCCTTGGGATATCTTCTATCACCTGTAATGTATTAATATATATTAAAAAAAAAGATGAAAATATGTGTCCATTAATAGAAATGCAATATAAGTACTAAGTATCTATCAAGTGATGCAATGTTTAAATAGTAGATAATATTTCTAGACTATACATAAAATTCTGCATTATGAAGTGTATTCCATGGATCTTTTTTTCATCAGTTTACATCATCTTCCTAGAACAGAACAGTTTGCTACAAGAAAATCATAACAATGGTAATACCTTACTTAAAAACGATCTAAATGCATTTTTTTGCAATGTAGCTTAATTTATTTTTCATGCTTAAAAACTTAGAAGAATGTACCAATTTTATTTTGACATCACTGTCTTAAAGGCAAAAGCAGATTAACTTTATAAAACAGTAAACAGTTTGTCAATTTTGAATAGATTTCATAGTATGAAATTTTAACCAAAATAGGGGGGAAAAACGCTGTTAACTATAGAACTGGTAAGGTTTTAGTTGTCAAATATGATTAAAATAAAAAATAAAATGACTAAAATCAAATATGATTAAAAACTGAAGCATGTGTCCAGTCCTCCCCTTTTCTATTTTTTTTTTTTTTGGTAGATTTTAAAGGAGGGGAAATAAAATTGTGTTCACCATCTGTTATCTGACATTTGAAAAAAAATAAAAATCATTGTTTGACCAGTAATGAGATGGTTAGCAGCATTTGGGTCCCTAATTTGCAAAGCTGGTACATCTTTAAAGGCACAGCAGATAATGCCCTATATAGAAATGGCCAAATCACCCAAAATACGGAACATCATCGAAGCATTAAAATACAAAACAGATGGAGGAAACATTTCAAGGGAATATGGGGGGGGGGAAGTGCTGTGAAATATAAGGAAAGAAAACTCTGCCAAGCTCAACAGGACTATAGAAAGCATTAATAACCCAAGGATTATCTTTTTCAAAACTAAATAAAAGATGCAGCTATGAAGAAGGATGTTCTCCTAACACAAGCATCTAAACAGGAAATAGCATTTACCAACATGGGATTATCCCTGGGAGATGAAATTTGAAAGGATTTCCCATCCTAGTTGCATCAACTTGCTAAGGATCCAGTTAAGAAAAAATACCCTGCAGCCAGCTTGACAATTTCCTAGAGTAACTAAGAAAAAATAAACATATACTTACAAAAAAACAGATGTTCTATATTACGGGAGACTTCATATTAATGAATCATATGCATTATAGAGGAAAAGGATTGAAAATAAAAGGCCAATAGATCGATCACAAGCATGCTAGGCATTGTGAAAACCTCGGGTATTAAACAGCTCCTGCCTCAAAGAGTTTAAGCTGTAAATAGAAATTAGGTGGGGAAGGTGGCAGAGTGCCAAGTCAAGGAGAACCATGTTGTAGCAGTAAAATCAATGAGCAGTCCTGATTACTTCCTTTGCTGCAAGGTGGTATACCTGGGAGGGGATTATGCAGCGAGGTAGAATGAAATGAGAAAAGGTGAACCACAGAGGAATGATGGTATGCGTGGAGCAGGAGCGATGAGAAAGGACTGTAGGAGCTACAGAGCAAGGCTAGAGGAAGCTGATCTTCCCAAGATGGAGAGAGTTCAGTCAGTGCTACAGAAAGTTCACTCAACGCCCCCAGGTCCTGGTTTTTCCAGGTGTGTGGCTGCTCCAGGGGCTGGGCCCTCTGGTCTCACTCACATTCAGGTTTTGCCAGGGGCTGCACGATGATGATGAAGGAAGATGCTATCTGCGTCCTACCTGGTGTGAACGGTGTGTTAATCAGATGGTGTTTAGAGGGTTTTGCAGCGTTATGATATATCACAAGATGATGGCCAGATGGACAGGTAAATGGATGGATATATTCGTATGCATATTCTTTTTTAGCAGAAATAGAAATGGTAGATCTTGTCTGTGACTTCAACAAATGTAAACATTTGGATAGGAAATCTTTAAATATTTTCTGTTGATGTTTCTGCTTCATTTGCTGTTTTTAAGAGATTAACGATATGTCTCAAAGCTGTTGACTTAGAGTCTGAGTACATACTCTGAAGGTAACACTTTGAAGTCTGTGAAGCTTGCTTCTAAGTCCATACTTTCCACATACCTAAGCCACATGTGAATGGACCTTGGTGTCTTTCTCTGCTGTGCTGTGGGTGTGCAAACATACCCTCTTTACTAGATCAGTAGTTCGCTAATTGTCGGTACTTTATAAACAGGCTTTCACAATAAAGACACTTTTATATTACACAGAACACAACATTTTTTTACACGTGTAAGAGTTAAATGGGTTCCTGAACATAAGAAGTGACTGTCTTTCTGTTATTGAAAATGAGAGTCTCTACACTACATGAGTCCAAGAGGAATGTGGTTGTTCTTTAGACATTCAAATCTGATAAAGTGGGAGGGAAAGAATGAGCAAACTTTACCCTCAAGGCTGTGTTAAGAAGGGAACAGGATTCAGTGACTGACAGAAAACGGCTGTACAAGGGGAGATCCCTTCTTCAAGACCATCACCTCATTCTCTATGTCTGATAGAATATTCTGTAAAGGGGGAGTCTTAGTTGTTTGGCTCTGGGCAGAGAAAACGTAGTGCATAAGCTGTGTAAATTTGTAAATGGTTCAGAGACAACCCATGCTTTGCTTAATCGCAGTATTTTAACTGTCTCTTGCTCTGAAAGGATAATTTTCTACATTTTTTTTCTTTTTTTTTTTTTTTTCATTCTTTTTTGGCTGTGGCTGTCCTCTTTCCTTCCTTGCTACAGATTTTATTTGCTTGCTCATGGGAGGAAAGGCAATAGGTAAGAAAAGCCTAATTGATGCCAGATTAATGCAGTTCCACAGGGAGACTAAGGAAAAGATTTATTCTCTCCTGCCTTTCCACAGATGTCTTATTAGGGGCTCAGCCTTGCCTTACATATGCACCTTTATTCATAAACTTCCTTCTTGTCCTCTGGGAAAAGCCTATCTCATGTAATTTACAGACTTGGCTTCCTTGTTTGTATTTATGTTAATAGTAAGATGCATTGAACACTCCACATATTGGTCTTATTCTCAGATGAGAGTGAAGGGGGTTTATCTATCTGGAAAAATATGTCCATTTGGCTTGCCGCAACTAGGAGTTACTGTAAAGAAAATGTTGAAATTGGAGCCTCTGAGCTGGCAAAAAAATGTAAAGGTTTGAAAGAGTGGGATCCAGTGGAGTTGCTGAAATAAAGCGTCAAGTTCAGAAGAAGTGAGCGGCCTTGTGATCCTGCTCTATGATTTTCTTTCCTCTAGCTGTCTCTCACCTTGGGCTCACAACTTCAGCTAATGCTGAAAAACATTAGCAGGTGATGGAGGAAGGAAATAAATTTTTTAATAATTTTGATGAAAGGCTGTGAGAGGAGACATGGAGAACATAGTGGTCCTATTTAATTTATACGTGACTGACTCAGGCAAGAGGAAGGAGCTTGGGCCAAACACTGTGTGCATCACTTGCTAACCTTATACTTAAGACTCTGGTATAACAGAAGATCCTTTACAGTTCATTCAGGAAGGGAACAGCTTCAAAGGTCACCCCATGGCATCAATGTAAAATTTCCCATTGTCAGCAGGACAGACCCTTACATCAACCCAGAAAGGGAAAGAAGGATATATTATTTAAAGAAGCAGTCTTACTTTCAAGGAACTGAAAGTGGCAATATTTATATTGCTTTATCATCACTTTCATTTCTTTCAAAGCCAGACCACTTTTTAACCCGCAGTTTTCTTTTTCAGCCAAAGCTTGTGGTTTTGGGTGCATCTAATAGAAGGTTTTTTATTAAGTTCTCATTTATCAGTCTCTTTATTCATTTTAATTCTTTTTCTTACATCTCATTTTGCATAAAACTGGTTTTGGATTCTAAAACTCTCTCTTCAACACCAACTAAGACGTACCATTTTTCAGTATTATAAATGGATTTTTGAGTTAGGGGACTCTTCTGTAACTTGTAGAAATTCCAAGGCTATGTCAGTACTAGAGGCCTGAGGTTACCATTCAGTTTATAGGTGGGTACTTACTCCTGCTCAAGGATGTACTTGTAGCAGAAACAAGTGATGAATTCCTCTTTGTACCTCCATTGGTAGAGCTTTGGTCAAGACAGTAAGTGTCTAGTTTGTCAGCTCCTCAGAAAGGCATTAGCTAGATTTTTTTTCATAGTGTACTGGACTTCCCTTTTTCCACCTTGATTCTTCATGCAACTACTGATAACCAGTTCACTTCAAAAAAAAACCAACAACAAACTTTACACCATATGTGATACTAGCTAATCTGGGTGCATGCTAATCAACACAAAATTCTGATTGTTTTTATTTTACTGCTGCAACAGAATTAATGTCTTCACTTCTGCTAAGTGACTCCTTAATATTTTCCCTGTCATCTTGACTCTTGTTAAGTGATTTTTGATATTTTTTTCTTGTTTCTGCTTTTCCGTTCTGTGTTGGCTTAAGGGTTTCCTTAGCAGTCTACCCTGACTTCACCATAGCATGGGAGCTATCCAAGTTGTCTTAGAACTTTTTAAACAGACAGCAGCGCACTTTTGGATCTTTTCTTTTCCTGTTGGACAGGAAGGGTTTCTATTAGGATTCTTTAAATATTCTTTTCTTCCATGTCCTTCTGCATTATCTGAGATTGTACTTGGTAATTCTGAGGTCATACATGCCAACAGGCACTGTTAGCAATAGAGATTTGCCTCTTAGCTCCAGAAACAAAGCACTCCTGATATACCCCGATCAAGTCCTAGTTCAGTGGAGACCATTCATAGTCCTGCTGGTTTATTTCCTACTTTGGAAGCTAAAATTAATCTCAGGTTATTGTAAGACGTGCTTAGCTCTCAGGCTGGCCTGGGGCCGTGCATATAAATCTGGTCCACCAGCTCAGCCTTCTGATATACTTCCTGCACAGCCTAGAGCCCAGCCAACACAACAGACTTGCCCTGTGCATTTTTTCATTCCCTTCAAAAACCCTATTAGTCAGTCTGTTTGCTATGGGCTGATATATATATTATTATTTTTTTATAATTTGGTTGATTCCCTATGTGAGTACGTTGATCACATTAAATACCTTTTGAGGAAAGCAAATGAGATGGTAAAATGGGAGTCAGTTCTGAACAATGATGTTCATTTTAAATACGGAAATTGTGCTGCTGCGAGGAATTAGCGATTGTTTTCAGCTCATGAGTAATCAGTAGAATTTGAAAACTATTTCCACTGATCCGTATCCAAATATAAAGGTGGCATTTCTCCTTGCTGTCTTAGATCAGTGCACAGACTTTATCTTAGTCTTCCCTAAGCCATCCAACCTCTAAAACTTAATGGAGAGTCACAATTAGATAGTTGGCAGGTCACAAATACCAGCTCGGGGGTGGGGGTTGTCATGACTGCACGTAAGGAATTTTACTGCTCAACAGATCACCGAGAGACGTTTTAACCTTAGCAATTATTTTTCTCAAGGTCAATGGCATCATGAAAAGAGCCAGAAACTTATTTCTTTGGACAATTAGATGCAGAGATTGCTCTTGACCTTGATATTTATAGGGTCCCAACAACCAAGGGGCTTACAGCTAGAGGTTATATGGGTCTCCAGAGCAATCCTGCCAAAAGTTCGGAAAAGTTCCAAAACAGCAATAATCCATGATTTCATTGTGCATGGCTAATTGTTTTTCCTGAAAGATACTCTCACATGTTTGGCAGTTAGCTTTGTAACAAAGAGATAGCAAGGGCTGTAAATCCCCAAACAGCTATTATTGTGCAATCAAACTTCGTAACTCATATGTATCTCCCCTGGAAATACAGTAATACGCTGTTAAAGTCAGCAAAAAAATAGGATTTGGGACCATAGTATTTTATTATGAGCCGTACAGTGGAAACTTGAGACCCTATTTTTAAGAAATGATTTGTTAGAAAATATATCAGTCCGATACATATCAGTATATATAATGTACACTTTCATTTTCACTCAGTGAAGTGATCTAATAGTTCATGCCTAACTAAAAAAAAAAAAAAGAAAAAAAAAGAAAAACCACCCCATACCACTTAGATTTTATTTTTCCAAACAAAATGGCAGACAGAAATAAAATTGTCCTCCTAAATAATAATTATATATATGATTAGACATGTAATTATAAATAATATGTAGGATCTGATTTAACCATACTTGAAAAAGAGAAAATCAAATCCGAGCAGCTATCAGGCCAGGTTCAAGGATGACAGAGAAATGGAAAGTTATTCTCTGATCAGAGACTAAAGACAAAGACTGAAAAAGAATGCAACTGCACTCTCAACGCAGCAGTGATATTAAACAGCATTTAGGGACAAGCATAATGGAAATTAAAGGACAACAGAGGAACAGAACAAATGGCTCCAAGTTGAAAATGAATACATATAGGCTGGATATTAAGCAAAGGCTTCTAACCATTAACGTTATATTGGCATAGAGTAGAATTTCAATCTAATTAGCAAAGGAGGAGAGGTGAGGACTGGCTGTATGATAAAAGGCTAAATGGCTCGGGAGCAGCCTTCTAGTCCTAGGTTAAATTTCCATGTGTGGCATGCCTTGTTGAAATACAAGACCGGTAGGTACACTTACCTGCAGAGGAATTGGATAAAAAAAATTGAAAGAATAGTAAGAAACTCATAAATTTCTTGCAAAGATTTCCAGTTTGCTCAGATGTTGTCATCCATGGTACAATTTCAGATTCAGTCCATTCTGTGTGTTTTTATGAATCTGATCAAAAAGAAACAAACTAGCTATTATTCGGTTAAGAAAGCGTCTTTCTAACTTAATGGAAAATGGGATAGTAAGCAAGTAGAGCCTGTTGTTGATAGCAGGAAATAGAACCACTTTTGTTCCGCATGGTATGTGCTCTCACCAGCCTGTTTCTCATTTGCTCTCTCAGAGGCCATTAATTTGGAGGCATCATAACTAAGCTGATTCATCTGTGCCTTTTAGATGGCAAGTCATCTTTCTGTTTTAGTCCACTATAGCTTATCATAATCAATTTATTCATGCTTTTTCAGATTCAAATGTGTTAGAGATCACCAATTTTTTACTCCCCCAAAAAAGCATTTTAAAAATTCTGTCAAGCCTACTTGGACAATTCTTTGCTGAGAAAGCTTTTCTGAATCTTTGCAATGAACATAAAACTCACAATCTGAAAATTGTCCTTAATGAAAATATATAGTGATCTCATAAACGTGTTTTCCTTTACAGCAATACCTTCAGTATTTCTTCAATTATTTCAGATATTTATCGCCAAAAAAGACTAAACTTTCTTCTGGCTCATTAGGAAATGGAACCCAGGGTTTTTTTTTACACTGTTCGGGTTTTATTTTATTTTTTAAACTAAAATTGTTGGCCAGAAGCTTAACATACCAATCATGTTTAGGCTGGGTATCTGTTGCAGAGGTTATCTGTTTCCTACATGATTAACCTTGCAGGTTATATACCACAGGATTGCATATTAACTGGATTGTTTTTCTCTGATCCAGGATTTCCAACAGGAGCCCATTCATTCCCTGCAGCTATCTTTCTAAATGAGCTCTTTCAGTTTTAATGATGAGCAGGTAGTTTTTGAGCTATCAGCAGATAATGTCTCCAGAAGGCTTGGCTGGAAAGCCAGCAATTAATCACAGGCAGGACTCAGCCCAGGTTCCCCTAAAAAGCCAGCTTCTCAGTGGCAAAGCCATTACCTGCTGGTAACGCTTAAAATCTCTGGTCCCAGCTGTTAAATCCAGAAGAGATCATTAGATCCCTATGCCTGACTCCCTCCATAAAGCAGTTACCTCTGAACTAGGCCCCACAACTTCTAAATGAAGGAAACGTACCTTTGAGAAGGGCACTCAGCGTTGTCTTAGAAGCATCAAAAGGTAAACAGTCAGCTCTTGAGCAGGTTGATCATTAGAAAAACTGGGCAGTACTGCTGCCTTGAATCTCCCTGGTTCTTGATATTCCATTGTCAATATGTTAATCTATATATTCAATTTGATCTAAGATTTTAACAGACACGCACAGAGCTATAATGACCATAACTTCAACTGTAGCATTTGCTTGGAAATTATTTACATAAGGGGAAATTATTTACATATTTCCCTCTATAGAAATATGAGATGGATAATTGCCATTGGAGCAGTAGTTATAAAATGTATTCATCCACCTTAGAAAAATCTAAAAGGCAAAGCAAATGTATTGGAAAATAATAGGGACTGCTGTTCAACCCTACTTGTTAAGAAAGCACACTGAGACAAAGCACCCAAGTCTTAACTGAGGCCTTCCCCTTCTTATTATTAGCATGTGTCTTTTTCACATCAGAAACTTGTGTTTCTGTGAGTTTCCAAAAACGTCTTTAATTGTAAAGCCAGCACCATTACTGATATGTGGTATTTCTAATCTTTTTTTTTCTTTTTTTTTTTTCTTTGAGAAGAAATGAGGAAAATGACTGCAAGGAGAGCAGAGAACTGTGTAGAACTATTTTGCTTTAATCATCTAGAAAATGTTTTTTCCTTATATCAGAGGTTTCAGGGTCAAATAAGTATCTTATTATTTTTCAGCTGAGATTGAGAAGGTGAAAGCAGCAATACAACTGGAGTCCTCTTTCCACATTCTGGCAATCTTTATGCCATGGCTGAACTTCTTCTTTTACAGATTGTGGGTGAGTTTATTCACAAGCTATTGTTGTTCATACTTACAGAGATTTTAAATTATAAATGCAGATGAGAGGTGTACTTCAATGCTCAGGAAGCAGCCTTTCTAAACACTTTGGCAGGGCTGTTGAAATAAATACAAAGCTTTTATATCTCAGAGTCTCATGGGGCATATTAATCCTTCACTTGCAGGTTTGTCAGATGAAAAGCTGCTTGAATAGTTTGATATTTTTTAATTGTCTCTGAAATACTATCAGTGCTGTACGCATAGCAAATAAAGCCAGCTTCAAGACACCAAAAATCTCACATGGTACAACTTTCATTTGCAAGATACCCAACTGAGCTGCTACTGTGCAGAGAAGTGCTGGTTGAGACTGAGGAACAGCCCATGGATTGCAGTTTCCACTAACAGGCCCATTCATGATGACTGGCAAACAAGACCACTTGTTCTGGAAATAAGAAGCTTGTCAAGAGGGTGTGCCAGACAATTAGGTACATATATATGATGGCTACTACAGGATGCGTACATCAGTGTGTTTTACCAAACTGGCAGCTATAACACTGACTAAAGTTACCTGTGTATCACGAGGTCGGTAAACTAATGAACTATTTGAGTGCTTTCAATGCTTTCCTTTAAAGAGACATCTTCCAAGATACAACATAGCTGATGGTGAATGGGAAAATGTCACAGACTGATCCCTCTGATCCCTCTGATTACTTCCCATTCTCTTTTGGTGATTTATATGTGCAATATATAATGTGTACTGATATAAAAGTTGGCTGTGCATGTGGTTAGAGGGTGGCACGTAAATTGAGAAAGCAGGCAGGCTCTGTGCTCCCATACCTGCCTGGCATTTCCTTCTGCCACTGAGAGAGACAAACTGCTGGTCTGGATGGACCATTGGTGTGACGCAGCAGGGCTTTTCTGATGTTCTTATGCTAGTTTGATCCTACAAATCCTTACTTATAAAGCAATCTTCTCACATATAAATAGATTTGAGCACTCAGGCAATATATGGTTCTTTATCTGAGCATCACAGACATGTTTTTAATAAAACAAAATGGGTCACAGTCATTTTTCTGTAAGTCTTTCATTTGACAGATCTACACTGAAGGTGAATCTGCTTCATGGGCTTTAACTGGGAAGCCTGCTTTTCTGAGCCAAGTGCTTTGCCAGGCATTTTTAAAGCTTATCGTACCAAGGCATTCCACATGCCCTGTAGACTCTCCTTTTTCAACAAAATGGGGGAAAATGGCAGCCTAATTTAATTATCTCTTTTGAAACTCAGACAGGAGTCAGAGTTGTTCAGATTGTTCCAGTTCTGAATGGCTGGCTGAGTTTTGAAAACCTATTATTCAAATCTTTGTTTTCACTTAGATTAGTTTCTCCCTCCCTCCTTTTTAAATGAAATTCATCAAAAACATGGCATTATCTTTTAAAGTATCTCAGCCAGTGTGGTATTTTCAGAAAGAAACCTTGACAGTTTTCTTCCCAGTTCTGAAGTCAAGGAGACATAAATATGTACAGCGTGCAAGAAGTCACGCACTGCAGCTCTATTTAGTTCTTTTCTGTAAGCGGTCAGGGAAGTAATTTCATGCCACAAGGAAGTTTTACCTCCATTAGATACCAACAAGCACCGTTGCAGTAATGGCAATATCAGATCGTCAGATTGCCATTTGTACAGAGTTCATTTTTAATACATTGGAACTGTTGTACCTTCAGTCTGAAGGTACAAAAAGGTTTTAACTTCTTACCATTTTTTTCCACTTTCCCACCAGACATACAAAAGATCCACAACTTGCTCCATGAAGAGTTAGCCATAAATGTGAAAGGTGAGTAGGCAACATATTCACCATCATTGTGTGTAAGTCACTTGGGAATTGCATGTATTCTGTAAGTGTATAAATATGTTGTGAATTTCACTGAAATAGATGATCGATATGTGAACATATAAAATTAATACGTTGTCATGACAGCAAGAGAAATACAATAAAAATAGAATATTTATTATTATACTTGTGCAGAACACTAAAGAGATGATGTAAGGCATTTTACATTTTCATGTTTCAGTTTTACATTTTATATTGCATATTAACTTTAAGTAGTTGACAGTAAGAGAGAGAGAAAAGCAATAATATATAGATCGGTGTAAGAAATAAAATGAAAGACCAAGGAAAAAACATTGTTAGCAATTTACAGTATATGGTTTAATATTCCCATGAAAGAATCTGTGTGTGCATTGTGTTTTAACTAACTCACATGGTGACAGGAGAATTCTCTTTTTTTTTTTTTCCCTTCAGTGAGAATACATATATCTGTAGGATAGGTAAAAAGGGACTAAAGAACTCCACAAACAAGAAACACACAAACGAAGACCTGAATCAATACTCACTCATGCCCATTAATTATGCACTCATTTTGTACTAATGTAAGTAGATCCTTATTTTTAAACAACTTGTGCATAGGAAAAGGTACGGAAGAAATTGTTCTGTACCCATAGGCAGCATCTGATGGGGAGTGTGATACAATGGGAAGCTGGAGAGCGTGACTGAGAGACAGAAAACCTCAAACAGTCTGAAATTCAGGAGCAGGGGAGATACCCAAGGAGAGGATAATACAAACCTCAGGAGAAGAAGTAATTTTAGAAGCATGTAACTAGCTAAATCTGCCCCATCTTTATATTAGATAGGGGCATCTAGTAAAAGAGGAAACTTCTGTGATGTAGAGTGAAAGGTTGTCAAGGCATGGAAAAATCTCTTCGTAAATTCAGTGCTTCCATGTTGGGGTTCGGGAACAGAGGAATTTAAGATCAAAGCAGCTCACATGCTGCAACTCTTAAAGTAGCTTTTTTTTTCTTTTTTTTTTTTTCAGTAGAAATCATTATTGAACTCTCAGAATATCTTTTATACAAAACATTCTGGTTCAGATTCTGTGGTCAGAAGCTCAAGCAGCTTCTTAAGATCAAAAATCAAGCCTATTTTATTCAAAGGAGTTCAGATTCCGCTCTGTCTGTGCTCAAGTGGATGCAGCATGACAAACGTCCCCAGAAATAGCTGACGCTATGAAGTAGCTGAAAAAGAAGACAATGAAAACCAACTTTATATTATGGGGCAGGGGTCTAGTTGATCCACTGTAAAACATCCTCATCACTGGAGAATTAGGTACGTTCTGCCAGTTAATGTAAACATAAAGTGTAATGCCAAATTATAGATGCTATTTCTAGGAAAAAGACTTGAGAGAATTCCTGGTTTTAGACCACCTCAGTCTCAGCTCTGCCTCTGGTATCCTTCTGCATGAGATGTACATAAAATATATATACATATTGGGCTCACATGCCTCAAGCCCTGATTGAAAGATACTGGGAACATGAATGTTAGACCAGTGCTCAATGATTGTATTCGGTTTACAAATAAACCCAGCCTCCCCACTCCCAGTTGTTCTCCTGGCCTGTCACATAAAACAGCTGGGACTAAAACTCCTGAGGTACTGGTACTTCAACAGACAAATTGCACTGGTTCTCAAAATCTCCTGGGAATCTGGAAAGGTAAACAGCCTTTTAATACACAGCAGCCTGGCAGCTAATAAACAGTGCATTATTCTGCATCTCATAAATCTCCATGAAGTTCATTTATTCTCTTCAGAGAATGAATAACTAATATGAAGCCTCCTCTTGCCAGTTATTGTCATGCTACACAAAATGATTTAGATGTGGAAGCTGCTATTAATAGCATTGAATGAGCTACTAATTGGATGGTTATGTAACGGCATTGTTATAAAACCTAGTTTGGGTTTGACACCTTCTGTTTTCTAAAAACAACATTAAAAACCCAAACAAATCCATAGTTAGCAGTACATAACACAAAACAAAGACTAAATAATTACCAGTCTTTCAAAAATCAAATGGGATTAAAAAGGAAAAAAAAATAGTCATAATCAATTCACTTATCTGAATTCTGGTAGAAATGAGCTGGAAGTGAATCACTCAATTGATCTGCTGTTCAAAGGGATGATACTTTAAAGTAACTTTCTGTAATACCTGCCCTGCAAATCCTGACAAAGAATTCTAAGTTTTTGTGACTTGTGAAATCTCAGAAAGTTTTTTCTATTGAAAAATGGCCTTTGAATAAGATCTAGTATGTACAGCATGTAGTTTAAGGAGAAAGAACTACCAGGAAGTATCTCTGTGACACACACTGATAAAAATAATGTACTAGTATTAGGCATGGATCTGTACATTATTATTATTATTATTTTTAATACAGATGTACCTATACAGTCTGACATTTTTAAAGAAACATATAAAAAAAGGGGAGAGAGAAACAAATGGGGATGGCATTTTATTCCCTGCTGCATGGAGGGACAGAAAATTGCAGTCCATTAGGAGAGAAGCTTTTATCCAGGGTGGCGCTTTGCAGTCCTTCTATTCTTGGTTGTTCTGAAGGCTGGAGCATCACTAATGTAATGTGCAGCACCAGGAGCTTCTGAGGATGAAACCCAACTACTGGCCTCTTGTGCGGATATTTTCCTTTTGATACATCAAACATGGCAGCATACCAGAGCCCATAAGAAGAATCTCTGAGAAGGCTCATAGTTATATGTATATAATTGTATTGAAAGTGATGAAAATTTGTGGTCAACCCTGCACAGCTCTAATGCCTTTTACTTTAATTTTTGACCGTGAAATTACCTCTCGGCATGCACTGTGGCAGCTATTGTTAGCTGATCACTGTTACCTACAACCTTTTGTTCCTGAGGTAAAGCAAGGCTGTCACGCCAGAACTGCTTCCTTATTGAATCAATCAGCTCAGGATTCTTGCACAAGCAATCAAACGAGCACTTCACGTGTCTATCTACAAACACACGTCCTCATGTTTTTGCAGAGAAATGCAGTGGAAATGCAGTGGATTGCTTCCTATTGAGTCACCTCTTCAACTTCAGGAAGTTAAAAGAGTAATAGTAGCAGTGTAGGAGGAAAGACGGGTGTAGTGGTGGCAATGTGACCTGCACGTAAAGGACTTTAGCCCCTGAAAGAGGAGGTGGGTACAGGAGCATGCCTCATGCTGCAGGAGATGAGGCACAGCTGACATAAAGCTAGATATCTATATACCATCAATCGGTTCACCTCTGTTATCTGCAGCCATTCTATGACTGGTAGGATATTTTGGGTTGTGCTCTTTTTTACTGCTTTTTATTTGGCAAGCGAGGCTCTACTCAGCCATGCTGACTCCATGTTATTGTCAGCTCCACGTCATTTTGCATTGCCTGGATGATGATATAAACCCTGATTTATCCAGAATAGATGAGGAAGGGCTTACATATATAAAGGAAAACATTATTTCAATTCTCGCATTGTTAAAGCACACAGAGGAAGCAGCCAAAGGGCTTACAGAGATGCTATTTGATGCACAATGTACCAGCACCGCTGTAATTATGGCAAGCATGCCTAAAAAGCTGTGATAACTTAGGAATCAGCAGCTGTTGAAAGGAACAAGACATTACAGAAACCAAACAGGAATTTGGGTGGTCCAGATGTCTTCCACATGTCTTCCGCTAATTATCAAGAACTAGAATCTCTTATCCATTACGTGCATGTAAATACAGAGTATTAATTTCAGTAGAATATTTGAGTCACAGTGTGGCAAATAGTACCAGAATCTTCTCCTATAATCTTGTGTCAGCCTGCTTTTCCAGTCCTATGCATCAGATGAATTAAGTTTCCTCTTAGATGCATTTTTTTCAATGATGGTATAGTTTGTCTATGTTGTTACTGCTCTTTCGTGATTTTGCTTGTGTGAGAAGGAAGAGGTATGTATCAGTTCCTCAGAGCAGTAATGCTGTTTCATATTTCTGTTGTGGTAGTACCAAAGGGTTCAAACAGAATGCAAACTTTCTTTGTCACGCATTCACTGTAGAACAGAGTTCGTCAGAGATACAAAATTAATTCACAATCCTATAACTTCTCAATTCTTGATAATCCTGAATTTATACTGTTATAAATTAATGCTTTAAAAATACTTCAAAAACTTTTAAAATAATTTAAATATTGTGTAAATCTTTACATGCTATTTACATTTTAAATACCTTAAAATATTTGCAAGTTACCTTTAAATGGCGTTAAAAAAATCCCTTCATCTGACATGCATTTTTTCCCTCTGAAATCACGGTTTTCCACCATTTGCATTGCTTATCTGTCTCCAAGATTAATGCCACCTGCATTGAGCAATGATGATAGTACATCTAGCTACAAACAGCTCTCTGTATATACAACTGATCGATGTTTTTCCTGGGGTATGATAAACTGAGCTTTCTCATTGGTAAGTGCATATAATTACTGCCTATCTCTTGTCTACTGATGTCTATTGCCACTTCCTGCTGGGTTTACATACTTTATTTCATGTGCTGGACCATATTTTAAGTGATTCCTGGAATGTTATGCCAATGACCAAATTCATGTGAGAAAAGAGAATTGAGAACTAGAACCTTTGGACGAGTAATTTGCACTGATAATTTTGGAGCTGGACTATTTTTTTTGCATGTAGAAATAGGTTATGTGTTTGTGAGATTATTTTATGATATTTTGGGAACCTGCTTTACAGAGTTAAAACAAACAAACAAACAAAAACCCACCCTGCTCCTAGGCCTTATGATATTGCCAGGAAAAGGAAGAAACACTTAGCAAGGTCATGAATACAGAGCAACTAAGGCTGGGAGGGAAAAGCCTTCCAGTGTGATTAAGCTATTTCGGTGATCTTTTCTCCTTTGTGGTGCTTGGGCTTGGAAGGAGGAACCACAGAGGAAAAATAAAGAGCTGAAAGAAAGAACGTTTTCCAATGGAGAAATCGAGAAGCTACTTCTCTGCAGGATATCATCCAGGAAATACCATTTTTTGTTTTTCTTTAGTAATTTTGTTTTAAATAAGTGGAAAGACTTCCCTGCAATTCTGAATCAAAAAGATTTGTTGGATAGAAGTCGGGATAGGGAAGCAGATAGCTACAGCTTTGTTAAAAGTAGGACAGGGTCAAGTAGCACTAGGGGCTGTGTTTAACACATTGAGAAGAAAAAAGAAGCAGACAAAAAAAAAAAAAAAGCTGACTAATTCTGGTGATCAATGCATAAAATCTGTATTTACAGACAAAATGACTAGTAAAGGTATACATAAAGCCTATGCAAAAATATTGCAGATATCTAATCATTAGTTGGGGTATGAATCACTCCATATTTCATAATAATTGCTAGAAAAATATTTACTTGAGCCAAAGCTTAAATATCATTAAGGGGATGAATCTAATTCAGCAGGTTTCTATGCCCTCAATTGGCCATTGGTTTTGCTTGAAATATATAAAATGATAGCAGCCCATATATCATTTTTCACAGTTCCAAGAGAAAAAACTGCTCCAAGTGTGAAAAGTTTCTGCTGGTTTGTGCAATATAGTTGGTGCTAATATACTGAAAGACAGATAGTGCTGTAACGCTGATAAAGACCCGGGCTAAGTTAAAGATCCTTCCTGTAAAACAGTATTTCCCAAAGCTGTTTGCAACAACTTTGCTGGAATCTCTGAAACAAGGGATGTCGATCCCACCCAGACCCAGTGAGCTCTAGACTCAGCTTCTCAGATCGCGCTCTGCATGTGTGTGCCCTCAAAGAGTGGCTGTAGGAGCTAACTATTTATTATTTGCTCTTTCCAAACAGGCACCCAATAAAGCTGCCTATTAATCCTAATTGTGATGGAGGCTTATGTATGCCATTCCCTTCTGTCTGATGGGAGCGAGGCGAAGGTCACGGCTTGTTTAGTTCCAGTCGGTGAAGGGCCATTACATAAGAGTTGCTTCAGTCACTGTCAGCACGGGCTATATTTGGACGACTGTAACCCAAAGGCCTGTCTTCCTTCACTCGCTCTGTAAGCCATCCAGTTGCTCATCCGTGCTTATTCTGAATAATGATGATGAGCAGAATAATTACTGAAATTGCTGGGTTTGCCCCGTGCCTGAAAATGCTCTCATTTGGTCAGATGTCTCGCTGTGAAATTCCTCTCTCCCATGCAAGCAAGGGAACGCTGCAGGACTGGGCTGCTGGACGCACTTGCCCTCGAGTGACCCAAATGGGAGCAATATGCAGCCACTTGGCACACTGGGTATGGCTGGAGAGAACGCAGGCAGCTAAGTTAAAGGACTGATGGGATCATCTTTAATTTGCTCTGTAAACAGAGAACAGTAAAGATCACTACAGTAGCCTTTTGTGCCATATAACCAGCGAGAACAAATATCATGTTACATACAGCTGATACATAGTGGTCGCATTCCCAGCTGCGCCCTTATCAAGATGGCTGTGACAATAGATGTTCTGTGGAGCTGGAGATAACACAGTAAGGAAATGTTGGGAAATGCTGGCACTCTTGCAAATGATTATAACAAAACCAAAAGGAAAGAAGAAAGAGTTTCTTGTACTACTGATTTACATTTTGCAAAGTAACTCTACTTGGAAAGGAAACCCAAACTTCCCTTATTCAAATAGTTTTGTTCCAGTGAACTGCTACAGACAATTTGCACTTAATTCAAGGAATCACTTTTACTTGGTATTTTCTGGCCAGTAACTAAGTGTATATTTGTTGCTCTGAGTATTCTTAAGTATGCTGAGTGCAATGTGCAAAGACATAAGAAATAGCATTCTGACAAAATTAAGTTGGTCTGCTGGCTAGCTGTTTGGAAGTTTTATGTACCATCATTCTTACTCATTTTTCTCTTACTATTAGCACTCCCTGCTGTCTAGGTCACTAAACCAGTTACTCCATTTCTCCTCCACTTATATTTAACCCCTCCACAAGACTTTGGACCGTGTTCTTCTCAGAAGTCAGCCTTTCCAGTCAATGTTGTCTCAACACTAGCCTATGCACTGGTTGTTTCAAGATGCCCCCTATTCTGACCAAATCTTTTCTCCCCTCTTCCATTCAGTCTGTCCAAACTGTTGCCATCAAGATATTTTCCATTTCTCTGAGAATATTGTCCTGCTTCTAAAATCTCAACGTTGACCTATTTCCACTCTAAAATTCAAACATGTTTCTTTTCTCAGCTCTAAATGACTTCATTGCTACTTGGATCTGACCTCATCTCCTCTTGGAAAGCCATTTAGTCTCTGATGTTGGGAGTGTCTGTGGTGGGGAGCAAGGGATGTTATAATTGATTTCCTTCTTTAACTTTCTTCATTAACAGGGTGCTCTGAATCTTAACGTACTGAAGATGAAATTACTTTCAGCCACCTCCCTCATTTGTTTTGGAAGTGTCTGGAAGTATTTACAGAACGATCACCAAAAAGCATTCAGAGTGAAGATTCAGCACTACTTAAATGACTGCACACAATTTCTACCAAATTAAATGCATCTTGAACTATATTCTACATCCTTGAACCTCTGTTCCTGGTTAGCCCAGCCTGGGGTTGTCCTCCGTTGTGATAACTGGCAGTAATACCAGCGGGCATTTATTTGGGTGACTTAGGAATAACTGAAGAGCATCATCTTCTTACCATTCCTTTTCACTCTCCTCCCATTCAACATCTTGTGGAGCTGCAGCATCTTGTGGATCAACAGAGTGCAATTAATTCATAATCCTGGAGATACTGAGGTTGTCACAGTTTGCTTTTCCAGATGCATATATTTCTTCTGAACTTATAGGATAACATGAAAATAAGACCTCTTACCACACCAGGAAAAAAAAAAAAAGCATCTATTTCTTGGAGTCTATTACCATTGAACCAAAAGTAAGAACCCCCTGGGAACTCTGGAGGCAGATACATTTACCCTGGGTCCTGCCGACATCTGATCACACAGGCCCCAAAGCTGATGCTAAAATTTCCAGAAACATTTGGGAAGCAACCACAGAAATCAAACAAACTGAGCCCTCGAAGAGCAGTAACAGGAAGCTACAGAAGCCCATCTGAGCCAGCACTCACTTGTCAGCATGGCTTTTCTCCTCCCTTTCAAGCTTCCACTGGACATGCTGCGTCGTCCAGCACAGCACCTCCAAAATTGCTGGGCATTTTGTTCACACTTCAGAGGCCTGAAGCCTCCTGCAACTCTGCAAGATAGATTGCAATGACCCTGCAGCAGTGTCTCACCGAAATGACTGATCTACCTGTATTGGTCATCTCTAGTTTCCCCAAAGTGGTTTAATTATTTGTGCACGTGAAATGAGCATTGTCAACAGAAACATTATACAGACAATCTAGAGTCTTACACAGGCAGGATTTCATGAGCCATTTTCAAAAAAAAAAAATGTGTAGGGAGGTTACATGCCCTGACCAGATGGGTTTTGTTGTTTCTTGTTCTTTACCTTTCCTTGGAGGTGCTTTGTCAACCTGATGCATCTCCCTGACATCTTCCCAGAGCTGGCTCTTCTACATGGGAGACTCACTCCTTCTCAAAGAGAAGTGGGGAGGAATTTAATAAGGTCTGGGTCTATCTTTGTTTCAGGGAAATTTGTAACAGATACTTCTGTATTTGTCACATGTATGTTTCAGACCAGAGCATTTTTTTTTTTTTTGTTAATGTTGGAAGCTCTCAGCAAAGCCTGAAAGTTATTATATATAAACTATAATGTTAGCCAGCTGATTGGGACAAAAATCCAGGCCACTTAAACAGCATCTTGGAATCATTCAAATTTAATTCTTGAAATTAACATCAAAGCCATTTTTGATGTCTGAAAAGAATTATTAATTTTATTTTTTTGTGCTTATCTGTTCCTCACTGTACCCTCTAACAACACCATAATAGTGTGCATATGTGTGTGCACACACCCTGATATATCCTTAGTGGGATATCAGCTCCTAGATCTTGTATGTAGCACATATGTGTAAGCAGTCTGCAGGCTAGTGAGGTCTCGCATAAGTCGGTCCGGGTGCTTTTGTGGCTCTCATGCCCAGAAGAGAAATGTGGTCTGGAGAAATCCTGTGTTCTGCTACTAAATGACTTTTGAGATTCAGCAGTAACCTTGGCAGACTGGAAGTTAGCCTGGCTGCTTAAGAATATTTATAGCTCAACATGTCCAGGCTGTTATCTTTACCATGCTCACCAGGTGATCCACTGAAAACAGGGAAAAGAAAACTATTAAATTTAGTAGGTATTAGGCTAAATCCTTATTCAATTCAGAAGGGAAAGGTGATTTGCCTACAGAGGAATGTAACTGATGATGAAAATAATAAACCAGCTGCTAAATGGCTCAGTTCTGAGATGTATCCCTTCCTCTTTTTCAAAAATATATTGTATCTATGCAGCAATGTTCATGAGCGTTACAGCTTAGAATACCTTTACTGAAGCATTCTGCACCCTGTCTATAAATCCCTGGTCTTTTCTAGTTAGATCTGAGGATTCAGAATGTTCCTGCTTAGAGCAGTTGTGTTTGCTGACTTTGTCACTGGATCTGAATTCCTGACTCGGCATCCTGCTGACATGGTCTCAGTCATTAATGTATGATAAAACAACCTTCTGCATGCTCTTCTGTGTTCTGTTCTTCCCTCTCACCTTCCAGTCCTTGCTCTGTTGACTAATTCATCCACAGCTTATGGCATCCTTTTTTTTTTTTTTTCCTTTTTCCCCATATCTATCATTCAAATCAATGCCATGCAATTCAGTGGCAAAAGGTATAATTCTTGGAGCACTGCTGTCTGCTATTTGCTTGTAAGAAAAGCTGTATAAATAATATTTTATTTACTAGCTGTTCGTAAAAAATACTCAGCTCAAAATGAAAGTTAATTTAACAGAAACAACCCTCTTTGAAAGCATTATTTTAAAGGACCATTTTAATTAAAAATACCCTCAGAAAAAGAAAAACATTATTTAAAATTCTGAGATGAAACGTATCTTATTAGAGCATTTTTTCCTTTTCTGATGGAAATAAATTAAAACATTTAATTTTTGCTACGCCTGTGGTTTTTTTGTCCTTGACAGAGAAAGGAGGAGAAGAAGAATGAGAAGAAGAGGAGGAGGAATAAAAAAAAAAAAAACATTATTTTTTCACCTAGTTCTCCCTTTAGTGCTTCTAGGGGTAGAAGGTAAATGGCCAGCAATGCCTCCTAATCTGTCAGAAGTAATGCTTTTTTAGGCCAGAGAGAAGTCTTGGTCCCCTGCATACCAAGAGCGTGACAGAATCACTGAGCTATCAAATCAGTTATTCTGCCAACATCTTTCTGGTTCACTGAAGAGTAAATTAATCCTATGCAGGAACACTCCAGCAGGAGAATAAGGGAGAGCACACACGCTGCTATAGTCAGGTAGTAATGGTGCTTGCCAGGAGTGTAAATAATGGGTAAATAATTAATTTTCTTTGGGGAACCTTCAAGGATCGACTTCTCTGAGTGCTTGCGCACACATGGTGGAACAACAGCAGCAAGGGGTTGAGCAAGAGAGCTTCCCCTGGAAAGAAAACAAGCCCTAGAGTGGCTCCATCTCGGCTCTTAACAACTCGCTGGAGACCTGGGATGTGTAGGACTGGCCCTCAGCTTCTGGAGTCAGCGCCTGGGGCTTTTGACCAGCAGGCGTTTGGGAGGGAGCTGCTCCTAGGTGAATCCACTAGGTGAATACATGAGGACACAGCTTGGACCCTCATCAGTGCATGGACATAATAGCATGTAGGCTGCAATGAGCGAGCCTGCCATACCGACCAGCTGACGTTCCCAGTGGTACTGCCTGCTGAAAACATTTAGGAAAGTGCAACGGCTCCAAAGAGGAAACAAGGGAGGTACAGCACGTGGCACGGCATAATTTACTGCTGACCTGACATCTGTTGCCTCTGGTTCACTCCGGTCTACTGGACTTGAGGCCAGTCTCACGGCAGAAAGAGCAACTGAATGTCCCAGTTGCTGCATGCCTCCTGTTCCAAATCAGTCTTTCTGCAGCATGTAAAAGCACTGAGGTCCATGATTACAAAATGGCTTCGTGTGCAATCTCTTATTAAAGGGTCATTATGGAAAGCTGAGCCTTGGCTTTCAGCAGAAACCCCAGAGCAGAGCCCTTTGGGAAGAAACTGCATTTTCTTCTGATGGGGAGCTCTCTCTCCCCTTCAGGTGCCCCTGAGCACAGTCTCCCAGCATTGTCTGCAATTAGTCATGGAGGGAAAGCAGGATGATTTCACACCCAGATGCAAAGGTGAAAAGGCAGCAGTGCACCCTTTTCAGAGTCAGTAGAAACGGTTCTCCAATAACAAATGGATACAGAACTACTGCAATGAGCTGCAAACCCAAGTACCTTACCCTGTGTTATTTCTTACTATTGATCCTTTCTTCTGTTCTTACACCTGTTTACATGCACTTGTATGACCTTTTGATTAACCTCTCTCTGTTTTTCCCATCGTCTTTGCATATTCATTTTCCTGTCCACTTTCACATCGATTATTTTAGTTCCTGACTCTAACAACTGTTTTACTTTCTTTCAATTTCCTTTTACTTAGCCCTTCCTTAAGAAAACAAGCAAACAAAAGAAAACCCAACCTTTTCTCTCTCTGCTCCCTGTCTTCTTCCTTTTGTTATGTTTCTGTGATTCTCCACTCCTATTATAAAACTCATTTACTCTCTTTCTTCTCATCTCTTGCTACAGAAGCAACGTAACTCCATCAGCCTCAGCTCCCTCGGTCTGATTTCCTCTTTCTCTCTGCTGTCTAATATCTTTCCCTTCCTCTCTCTCACAAGCAGCACTTTCTCTTCCTATTTTGTTTCTAGTTCAGTACCTCTCCTCTGACTTTCCCACTGTGCTCCTACCCAGTGCCCTCTCCCTGCCGGTCACATTAGCAGAAATGTTTAGCTTTGCTGCTCTGTTCCACAGATCTCAGCTTCCTTCACCTCCTCCTCGCTCGTGAGATGCAGCCCACAAGCACCTTCTTGGTCCTCTCAGGTGGGTGTCACACATTATCAGCACAAGCCGCTCTAGAACGGTGCAAAGCAGCGATACTTTTCATGTGCTAGTAAGGAGGTGATTGCTCACTAATCAGCGACTTCTGTCAGTCTGGCTCACACTTCAGTTCAACAAGATACGGATACTCTATTGATCAAATTACAGTTCTTCAGCTTTACTGCAATAATGTACCTGTAACTGCTTCAGCGTTTTCAGTCCGTCACCCAAGGCAGTAAAGAAAAGCCTTGCCACAAGAACACATGAAACCTTGGGAAGGACCAAGGGCTGCTAGCAGTTCTCAACCATCTGGTCATAAAGCAGCTATTTCTCTAAACCTAAGATTAGTGAGGTTTTGAGGCCATTTTCTGTCTAGACCTCTGCTGTAAATGGCTTCTGAATTTGTTCATGAACTAAATATACAATATTCCCTGCACTGCTCATAATGAGCAGGCTACACAAATGACCTTTCAAAAGCTTTCTGACTCCTTCAAAACACAAGCAAATTGAAAATCTGTATTTGCAAGATCAGAAAGAAAATGAAAACCTCACTTTGGCTGTCTAAAAATGAAGCCATACAAAGGAAAGACCTTGCTGAATAGCATACTTTAAAAATAAATACAATTTCCTTTGCTACCATAAATATTGTTTCAGATTCTGAAGTTAAATAACATTTAACTGAAGCTATAACATTTTGTTAAACTTCAGAAACTTTAGAGGAACAGCTATTCAGTTTCTTATAGACTTCAACTATTTACGTTTTGTTTTATTTTATTTTATTTTATTTTATTTTTTTCCTGGAGAAGAGACACACGTTCTGGGATTTTTCAAAGCCTGTTTTAGTTCATTATTGAGATCTGACTTTCTGTATCCATGAGATCAACCACAGATCAACCACAGTTTCTGTGGTCTCAATGGAAACCTGAACCTTGAACCAGGGTTTGGAAGTTAACCTAGAGGGCCAGGTCCTTGGCTGCCATTGTGGAGGCTTTGGCCTGTTCAGGAACAATTTGGAGAATTTATGGAGTACTTAAATGGCAGCTACAAGCTCCAGTTCTGCCTCAGCTCAAGAGTGAGCTGCATTCGAGAGAGGATTGTTGCAACAAGAAGAAAGCCTCCCCACAGAGTGTTTCCAAGCTATTCATCATTTCCCTAGTATCTGTCCCTATAGACAATCCCCAAGTCCTATGATACTGATCTTACAAACAATTATTTTCTTTCCTGAACTCCTATAATAAATTTCATGCTTGATATTTCTGTTAGGACTCCTTGGCCTCCTCCTGACTTTTTTTTTTCTTCTTTTTTTTCCCAGATTGGGAAGGAGGGGAAAAAAATAAATGGAATTTTTGTTTGAATCTCACTTGGGACCATGCATTCTTGTAATGTCATTGCTAAACAAAACAGTGGCAAGAAAAGAAAGTGAATGGACTTTAAGAATTTCTGCTGAACATTTTATGATGAATTAAATGTATGGCACCATCTTAAGAAATACTCTGACCAAATGCTTGTTGTCAGAATGCACTGTTACAAAAAAAAATGAGATAGGACAGGGGAATATGTTCAATTTTTGCATGTCTACAAATACAGAGATAGCAACCTGCCAGACATGCCCCTGTAATGTAAATACTTACAATCGTCAGACAACTCAGAGGTTTCAGTACTGCTGATTGTGTTATTTATGCAGATTTATACAAAATTATGCACAACTTGTGTTATAATTTTGTTAGAGGAGACAAGGAAATAGTCTACTGTTCTGTATGCTTTTTTTATGCACGTTCCCTTCACTGATGTGAGAGCAGTTTCATTCTTGCTCCAATGTAAATTGCTGGTCTAAATTGAAACATCCTCTGGTCTTTTTGCTCTCACATTGCTGCACATAAGGGTCCCCTGGAGAGGAACCGGGCAGTAAATGCTTTGTGCGCGCTCACACAGCTCCAAGCCTCCCTCCACGGCCCCCTTTACGCCACGAAAGCCGCCTCGCAGGCAGGAAAACCGCCTCACAGGCAGGCTCACGCGCTCACATTGCGTGCACGTTAGCTCAGGGAAGAGCTGGCGGATTTTTAACGCTTGCTATGAGGTCTCGATTCGGGGATCTCGGGAACTTTGAGAGACCTGCGTGGATGCATTTCGTGGCTGTATTTCCGATGTGGGGCTTCTCGCGCATCAACACAAGGATTTCGGTGCTGTAGACGCGTGCTACAGGCTGCGATTCGTAGCGCAGCTCTGGCGGTAACGCAAGCTGACATATTCGGTGCTTTGAGTGTTGAAAGCGCTGTGCAGATGTTAATTTAACTCATTACTTAACTCGCCACCGCTGAGGATATCGGGAAGGAATATCCCAAAA